AAGATTTGAGATTGTGTCAAAAGAAATTGGTGATATCAGTTTCCACAGGCTTCCTAGTGGCTCACGGGAAAAAAGGGCTGAGGCAGGTTGACAAGTTGACAAGTGCCTGACAGCCAGCAACGGCAGATCCTGGCTAAGGCACGAATGTGGCTCTGCCTGTAGTACCAGAGGCTTGGTTTCCAGGCCAGGACGCAGTAGTCCTAAAGTACTTGGGACAGGACAGTTGCTGGCCAGGAAATGGAACTCCACTCTGGTGCCATCTTTCAAAGGGATATGGAAAAACCTGGGGCATCCATGTAGGAAGGTGAAGGCTTGAAGGAACCAATCTTCCAGGAGCTAATTTCTTGTCTTCAGACTTGAAGATCTGACATCCAGAGGGAAGGCTGTCCCCCTTGCTTTCAGAAGCTTTGATGGGCACCAGCTGCTGGTGTGGTTCTCCTGTTGAAGATGGTACATCACACGAGAAGGAGGCTGGGTTCCCGCATACTGCCTAGATGAGAAGGTACTCAGAATAGTCGCACGCACCTGCTTCCATCTTTCTGTTAAGGTACTTTTCCTATTTTATTTTGTTTTTTTTTTAACTATTTATTTTTTAGTTGTAGTTGGACACAATACTTTTATCTTATTTATTTTTATGTGGTGCTGAGGATGGAACCCAGGACCTCACACCTGATAGGCAAGTGCTCTACCGTTGTGCCCCAGCCCCAGCCCCTTGTTTATATTTCTTATTGCAACATAATCTAGCCTTAACTCAAGGATCAGCTTTAGCCTCACTTCCCCCCATATTTTTTATCAGTGCATAATAGTGGGCTTTGTTGTTACATATTCACACATGCACACAATATGACTATATAATTTGGTTAATATCATTTCCCCATATCTCCCCTTTCCCTCCCTTCTTCCCTCCCCTTGGTCCCTTTCCTTTACTCCACTGGTCTCCGTTCTATTTTCATGAAATCCCTCCCCTACCTTTTCTTTCCTTTTTTTCTCTCTTATCTTCCACATACAAGAAAAAAACATACGGCCCTTGACTTTCTGAGTTTGCTTTATTTCACTTAACACCATGTTCTCAAGTTCCGTCAATTTTCCTGAAAATGTCAATTTCATTCTTTTTATGGCTGAATAAAACTCCATTGTGTATATAGACCACGTTTTCTTTACCCATTCATCCACTGATGGGCACCTAGGCTGGTTCCATAGTTTGCTATTGTGAATCGTGCTGCTGTAAACATGGGTGTGCATGTGTCACTGCAGTATGGTGACTTTCATTCTTCTTTAGGATAAATTCAGAAGACTGGAGTTCCACTCCATGGAGACAAGCTGGGTCACATGGTGGTTCCAGTCTTCTGAGGAATCTCCATACTGATTTTCATAGTGGTTATAGTAACTTCCAATCTCACCAACCGTGTGAAGTGTTCTCCACCCCCCCACCCATCCCTTCCAGCATTTATCATTGTTGGTGTTCTTGATCAGCCTCATTTCTGAAATCAACAAAGTGGGGGATAATAATACCTGCTTCATGAGATTTTTGTGAGCTTTAAATAAGAGATGACTTCACAATCATAGTGTTTGTCGTCTACCTTTCTGGCCACAGTGATTCTTTCTTGCTGTTCCTGTTTGGAAGAGGAGTTCCTGTCCTACATGTCCCAAGACATGTCCCCTAAACTGGTGCTAGGGCCAAACCCTGCCCCGGAATGGGCCTGTCTGGCAAGTACTCTGTTCCTGGTACCAGGCTGTAAGAGAACCAAGGTGCCACCCTCCACTTGGTGGCAGTGTGTAGTGGGACAACACAAAATAGTCACTCTAAAGCCATCACCTTCTCTCCTCTTCCCATAAACATGGAGCAGGAATGCCAACCAAATGTGCTTTCTTGCTTTTAAAATGTATATAATGGAACTGAAGTACCATAATGATTTGAAACTCGACACAGTCTACCCGAAAAATACAGAAGCAGGTTTTGTTTAGCACCTGCAAACTTGGCATTGTTCCTTTGACTCCTCACACGCATGTTTTCACCCTTCATTTTATCCTACGTGATGTTTTTGAAGTTTACATTTAAAATGAATTAGCCTCTCTTATTTTTTTTTCTACAAAAGAAGTTTCCTGTATATGTGGAAATGAATTCCAGTGACCCTAAATCTGTACATTTTTTGGTTCCTGGACGGAGTAAGTATCACAGTCCTTGTTATCATCCAATCACCTGTTTTCTTGGCCCTGGCAGAGTCATTTGAACACAAAAGCCCTGCTGGGCAAGCCTTGGCCGTCTCCCTGAGGGTCTGCCCTGAGCTTCCACTGCAGTCCAGCAGGGTCTGAGAAGAGCAGAGGGGTCACAGGGAGGGATCTTCCATTAGGTTGCCTGGTGCCCCTCCTAAGGGAAGCTGGAAAGGCAGGTGACATCTCTGCACATGTTTAAGTTGACATTTAATTTAAGAAGTTTTCATTACAGATAGTTACTAAGGGTACAATTTTCAATGCATTGTTAGTAGTGAGATTAAGAAAATGATCCTCAGACCCACTGCAGCAGAACTTTTCCGTGTGCTGTAATTTATAGCCCCCGCCATGATATCATGATGATTCCTGATAGAATGACCCGGTAACTTCCGCACAGTCTGTAAAGGGATTAAGATGTGTTGAGGAGTGTGGGTTCCCCTACCAGCTGCCGTAAGCCCATCTCCCAGTCCCAGCCACACCTCTGTTGTGCAACCGTTTCTTTCTGTATGCTTCTCTTCCAAAGGAGAATGGTGGGATTGGCTGGCTTTCTGGGAGTCTCTTTCCTTGAGGCTGCTTTGAGATTAAACCTGACACATGCTCACAACTTCTTGTTCGAGAAACTGACAGTTGACATTTTAAAATGTGTGTGTTATATTCCTTTTTATTGTAGTAGAATCTAAATACCACAATGAAGTGATACTCAACATTATCTTCATGAAAAATACAGAAATGAGCTGTTTCTGTTTTTGTTTTTTTTTTGGTAGGACTGAGGATTAGACCTAGGGCAGGTCTATATCCTGAGACCTTTCTATTTTTTTTTTTTTTTTTTTGAAACAGGGTCTTGCTTAGTTGCCCAGGCTGTCCTCAAACTTGGGATCTTCCTGCCTCAGCCTCCTGAGTTACCAGGATGACAAGTATGCACTATCATGCCTGGCTAGAAATGAATTATTTTGAACTCTAGAAATATTACATTTTTCCCTTTTTTCCCTCAAATTCGTGATTTTACCCTCCATTTTATCCTAATAGGGTATTTTTCTTTCTTTCCTTTTTTTTAAACAACTGAACATTTAAAATTAATTAGCTTTTCATGATTTTCTAAAGTAAGTGAATTTTTGTGACTATAAGATTCGACTTTTTAAAAAAATTTCTGGGTTGGGCAATAATTACAATTATTTTTACCCACTTGATGCAATGCACAAATATATTACGATTATAATAAATAAGTATTAAATATGTTTAAAATGTTATTGGAACTACATCTCTTAATGAGGGGGCCAGTTTATCTCTTCACCACACTGGACACATCTCCATAAATAGAAATTATTGATAGAAAGAAGGAAGGTTCACCATGAAGTCTATTCTAGCTTTTCATTGTTATGGATATTAGCTCTGAGGAGCATGGTTCCAATCATGAGTTAGATGGACTTGGAAAGAGTTTTGCTATAGTGACCTAACTTGACTCTTGGAACTCCTGAGTTACATTATAAAATCACAGTTTTAAAATATCCATAAGCTGACTTGGTTAGCTACTCTCGCAACTCTTTTGAAGACAAAGAATTAGAAACGCAGATGACTCAAGGATGCCCCTGGCATCAGAGCTCCAGGATTTCAAGCCATGCCTTTTAGCAACCCAAGGTTTTAACCCCATAGTGTAAGGTTAGTTGATTCTGGGTAAAAAAAGAAAGAAAAAGAGCCCTGCCTTGTCCCTTCTGCTCATTTCCACTGTATCTACTTGCTAAATACCAGGCTAATTTCAAGCCTCTGCCTGACGTCACTGACGTGGAGCTGCAAAGGGATGTGTGGTTTCCTCCTGGGCCTGAGTGAGGCTTAGCTAGAACACTGCTTCAGGGTCTTATAGCAAGGTTTGGGGCAGTGACCGATGATGTGATGACAGGGAGTCAGGGGGGTTGGTCTGATCTGAGGGGCCTTGTTAAGGAGGTCAGTTTAGGCATCTTACCCACGGGTGTTGAGGACATCAATTCCTTGACACATCCTGTGTCTGCGTACACTTTGGAAAGGTTGTACCTCGCTTGGGTTCGTGTACAGGGATTTGGAGAAAGAAGGGATGGGGCACAGGCCTTGGAATCAGCCACATCCGGGCTCCGATCCTTCCTCCCTAAGTTATGATGACTGGGAGCTTGGGCACATTGTTTAACTTCTGAGTCTGTTTTCTCTTACAAAATAAAAAGCCGATGCCTACCTTCCTGTGAGAACAGGTGGTAGTATGCACCTGGTGTTCTATCCAGCAGATGCTGAACAGGTGGATACTACTCTCAGAGTCCTTTTTAATTGAGTCAAAGGAAATAGAGGGTAGAGGCTCAGGATAGCAGGAAAGTGGGGAAAAAAACGTAAGTGGGAAACATTGGATCCCTTGCAACTTAGGGTTTACATGGGTCAAAGCAAGTGGCTTTGGTTGTCTTGAAACGTTAGTTTCAGTGGGGAATGTGCAGCTAGTTTCCCTACTTTTTATACACTCCTGCATCTTATGGAACTCAGACATTGGGATCTCTAGTCCATTTGGAAAAACTCGTCCAACAGTGTCAGTAGCTCTCTCAGGGAGTAGAACTCAAGATCCTGGCTAGGTCCAGGATGGTCAGTGACCACGGAACAAAAGGGGCTCCTTCTCAGGTGGTTTCACTGGTTAGCTGGTCCCTGAGGGTTTCATTAGAGTGGGGTTCATGATCCTTCTACTGGCTTGTTAAGAAGGCTTCCCAAAGTTTTGTTTAATGAAGATGAATGGCAAAGAAAAATCCTGTTCATGCTTTATAAACAATTTGGGGCACAACCAATATCTCACACTGTACTTTATTTTTCTTCACAAAATTAACTGGACAGACAAGGAAAGTTGAATAGCAATGTGACATTTTCCTACAACACAAAGTGCCATTATATTTAATGGAAGCCAACCTTAAGTATGCAAAGTAGGCTTATCATATTTTTTTGTATATACAGTGTTGCAGATATCAGCTACCCCTAAAATATATCCATCTGAAAAGCAGCCCATGAAAGGTAACAGTATGAAAATCTTGATAACAAAAGCTTTTGATACAAAAAAACTTATTGCATACTTATATTACTTAAAACAAAAATAACCCCCGTAATTCCAAACAAAAGTACAACTTGGTTGAAAACTAAGATATTAAAATAAACACAACCACCGGGAAAAAAAGAAGCTTCCCCCAAATAAATTTAATCAGCTGTCGATTCTTCAGATGCTATCTTGGAGGAGAAAAACTTAATAAAATGAGCTGGCTGGAGGGTCCGCTGCAGATTTCCCAAATGGCAAGGTGCGTGGCCTTAGAGAGCATCTACACTACAGTCATATTAGTTCACAGTCCCGCGATTTCTGATGAACTAGCCTTTCCATCTTCTAGGGGTGTTCCCATCTTCCATGCTGAGCTTGGAACTCAGAACAACCTTGTCATCCACAGAACTTTGGCTTTAAGTTATTTTCTGGGACAGTCCTGATGAACCGGTACCATCCTGATGAATTATATAATACCATTTGTACTCCATCTGGTTTTCTGGGTGTCCAGTAAGATGCATATTTCAAGGTTGTCCAAAGACACGGAATAGAACCATGCATTGGGTAAGGCTAAGGGCCTTCGATGATCATTTACCCAATTCAGTTTCACATTGTTTTATTTAATTTTATTAAAATTTTTTTTTCTGCATTGTGCATAATAAACACTTAGAAACAGATGTCCCTACCAACCAGAAGGTTGTCATTAAATATCCTGTTGGTTAAAACTGTAAATTTATTGCTTATATACCCGTTGGCCATATCCAGCTTGAAATGTGTACCCCTGCGTTGCTGAGCTGAGCTGACTTTGAACCATGCCACTGCCTCTGGGATCTGAATACCACAGAACTGTAAAACTGTTTCTCATTTGCTGCATTAAGGGCCTTTGCAGAGGCGTCAACCGACCCCAGTAAAAGTGCCTCATACGCCACAGTTCTGGCTATTCTGAAAAACTCGACTCCCTGGTCCAAGCTTGGGAATGTTATGCACATTTAAAAATTCTTCTTCCCTCCCACCCTCATAACAAATGTTCTTTGTCTTGTAATAATAATAATTTAAAAAAAAAATCCCTGAAAGATCCAAATTGAATAACAATACAGATCTGACTGGAACCTTCAAAAGCCTGACAATGTAGAACTGTATTTCTTAAAAAAGTGTGCAACCACATTTGTCTGGACTGCAACAGACACCACAGAGTAAGATCAGATAGAATTTCAACTGACTCCCTAATTTCCTTAGACTGGCTTGTATTTCAAGCCCTTCCTGTTTTTTCCTGATAGAGTAGGTGTACATTACTAACTCTAAGTGATAAGAAAGTATAAAAACAGCCACTACCTTCAAAGTACAATTGGAATTAGAGTTGAAGGTCACATTAATAAATTATTTTAGTACAAGTTGAATCCTAAGTGTAGACTCCTTGCCCTTTTTTCCATCTGGTATACTTGATGTGAAAGCTAGACCTGTGTTGGGATTGCCATAATTATTTACATTTAATCTTGATTGTTATTAACTCCTCTTGATTTATAAGCACTTTCTTCAATGTTCCCACTGGGCCAGAGCCAGGCCTTTAGATGGTAAGCAATAAGCATTTACCTAAAAGTCACATATGAAGGAAGGCCGGCCACACCTGAGCATGCAGAGACAGGTGAGCGGGGCAGAGGATGTTGGTGTTTTGCTCAAACATATAAAGGGACTTCCTTATTTCTAAAATGTGGTTTTAATCCGATTCTTAAGCCTACAGAAATGTCAGCTCCTGCAGAATCTTCCAGGTGAACTGCTGGCTACAGCATATACGAGCAGTCCTTTGGGTCTCTCTTTCAGAAACAGTGCCCATGCAGGAAGGCTTCGGGAGCCCTGGAAGGTTCTGGGACCTTCTTCTGGTGGGTTCCTTTTTAGAGTCTTGGATCCCAATTTGGGAAGTGTGTGTGTTCTACTTTATGTTCACCCTGGGCAACTTAGAGCACATTCCTTCTCATGCAGAAAGGGGGGCTCAGATCGAGGTGTGAATCCCTTCTCAACACGAAGGGTATCAGAACCAGTCTCTGTTGTCCGTTTGCAAAATAATTTGAGACAAAAAAGAAAGAAAGAAATGACTAGATGAGGCTTTCATATACATTCATTGCTTTCTAACATGTTTTTAACAACAAGAAAAAATGCAAAACGAACTATTCTTATATTGAGTTTAGCTGCAATACTTGTACAGTTCTGGGGTCAGGTGACTGCGTATGTTTACCTTTAAAACCAGATGACAAAACCCCAGAGCCAAAGAAAACCAACGTTAGGCCGCTGTGACCTTTTTTTTAATATATATATATATATATATACATTTTTTCAAATACTCTGCAAATCCCAGTTTGAACAATAACAACAACAACAAAAGACAAACAGGTTTTATATTAAAAATATCCACGTTCTTCATTGTTACTTCTAAAGCAGCTCAGAGGGTCTCGCCACTTGGAGTGAGCTGGAAACAGACTCCATTAAGATGCTCTTGGCAGGATAGCAGCACAGGGTTTGATTTTCCATATTCATCACCTGGAGAATGTAAACCTTTCATAAAATAATATTTCACTTAAGAATCAGGATCATTCAAAGGTCTGGTCCTCTTGTTCCCTGAGGCCCACCAGGGAGGTGTGGCTCCACACCACAGGGCTCTTGCTTTCTGGGTGAAGTGTGAGCGCCACTGGGTTTCAGGAAGGGCCTGAAGGACAGCCACAGAGAAGGGCCCTGTGGAAGGAGAGCGGGAGGGCTTTGGGTAGGTCTGCATGGAAACAGGACACATAAAGCAGCTCTCTAAAGGTCAAACCGTCGCAGCCAGATTCTCATCCTTTGCTCATTTCCCATCTGGGTTTTCAAATGAATGAAGCTCTCAGGTTTAACCAAACACGCCTGTGATCTTAGGTAACATGCGTCCAGATGCCGAATTGCCCAGGAGCAAGTCGACCTTCAAGAGACAAGGTCAAAGCACAACAGACTTATCCACCAGGAATGCACAGAAATGCACATGACTTGGTGAACACCAAGCTCCTCGGTGCCAGTGACATCCAGGGCTTCTTATGTAGCCGAGACTCAGGCTTAGCCCACCTCTTCACAAATGCTTCTGAAGAATCAAAAGACAAAAAAAAAAAAATAAAAGAAATCTCATATGGAAAATCATCACTTTTGTTAAAAGAGTGTAGAGGCGATAACTAAATAGGAGTTTTAAAAAATGCTGAGATGCATGTATTTTCTTAAAAAGCAGCTTTCGAAATATCGACCACAGCATTAAACATTGAATAGTACATTCCATAGTTAACACAGATAAATGGTATATAAGTGACAATGCCACAAAGTTATTCCACCAGTGCCTCCTGGCTGATTCTAAACTTGGAAAAAAAATATTTTCTAGTTTATTATCCAGAGATCTCACTTCTTTTGCTAGTTCTCTATAGTTTACCACCTTTTTTTTTTTTTCTTCATTTATTTTAATGCCCCAGGATGTGCAGATAATTCCCACATTCTACACCTGGAGCTTCCCCCACCCCACCCCCACCACCCATAAGGTTTTCAAATAAAACCAATCGACAATGACAAGATAATGTTTTACATGTAAATCCATAGACATAGAGCAATTAACCCATGGCACCTCTTTTCAACTCATTTTACCTCTCTTCCTTTAGGACTTACGACCCTCCCCAAAGTCATTGAAAGCCTTGCTTTAAACTACCCAGACAAGCTGGGGCCACCACGCCCTGTGCAGCAGCCTAAAGGGCCTCAGCCTTCTCCTTCCCTCACACCTGTGGGGGCTGCGGCCCCAGCCCTCAGCATGTCCCTCTGCTAGGAAAGGCACAGGGCCGTTTCCTTCCTTCCTCGGGGACCAATGTCTTCAGAAGGGGCGTGGCTCCCGGGATCCCCCTTCCACGCCCCAGGTGGAAAGGGACCAACTGGGAGGGCGTGAGGCCTGGCTAGTCCCACTATTGCTCTTTCTTGACAGCTCCGTCAGCTCCCACACGGGGAGGCCACGCTGCTCTGCTGAACACCTCCGAGGAGACCAGCAAGTGCCCAAGCTCAGCCTTTGGCCTCCAGGCGGGGACACAGGGAGGTTCTGCAGGAGTCAGTCTCTTAAACGCAGGCACTTGTGGCTGCCTGATGCTCTGGGTGACTGCCGCCTTCCTGATGCCCAAGAAGTCACCGAAACATCCACCTCCTTGAATGCAGAGGATTCTGGTTCCTGCTCAGACAGAGCCAGGATGTAGAGGGGGCGTGTATCCAAAATATATGAATAGACACAATCAGGGCTTAAGGTACTGGATGATCTTGTATAAACTGCTAAAATGCTTCTCGGCACAATTGGTAGCTTAAAAAAATACTTTCCTATGGTTTAAGGGCATTTTTCTCACCACTGTCCTTCGGCGGGGAAGTCTCCGCGGGCACCACATCTATCTCAAGTTCCCAGTTTCTGTCCTCTGACTGGCTATGTACCATGTGAGTCACATGCAAAGTGTCTGTTCTTTAGGCCAGGGACAAATGGACTTCCCTCGAAGCACCCTGCCTCTGTAATGTCACAGCCCCCAGGACCCATAAATGCAAGTCGAAGGAATGCCTTCGGCCCAACCTCCAGCAGCCAGAACCCCGGCTTCTCGGCGGTCAGTTTCCTTGTCCATCCGTTTGCTGTTCACATGACGGGCTAGTCCACTCAACGTGGAAAATCACTCTCGTTTTGGGGCACACCAACAGGTGGAACCGCAGGAAGTGATCCTTGGCAATTAGTTGTCGGGTTTCCAAAGATGAGAGTTTTGATGGGACTGTCTTAAATAAATAAATCTTTTTTCTTAATAATGTAAAAAATAAATGATATTTCCCTTTGGCAGTAAATAGCTGATTCGACGTTTTGCCTGAAAGCTGTGTGTGTGTGTGTGTGCACGCGCGTGTGTGTGTGTGTTGTATTTGCTTTCCTTTAAAGATACCGTAACTTCATGATGCATCACTGATGATGCATATCATGTCTACTGCTTTAGTGAACCTTTTGCATATTTGTTTGGGGCAGGCCTGCAGACTTCACTTGTGGCCCAGGTAGGCACCCAGGGTGATGCAGGCTCCCACCAGGGCCAGGCTGAGCAGAGTCTTCAGAGACAGCCAGGAGAAGTCGTACAGGGGCCGCACGCTGGGGCCATACAGCTCCACAAAGGCATCCTGCATGGGGGAGAGGCGGGAAGGAAAAGGAAGAGCGTTAGAAGGAGGAGTTCAGAGAACGCCACCTTACAGAGGGGAGGCGTCCTGCCAGAACAGCCTGGGCATCCTGAGAAGGGCGAGAGGGAGAGGAGAAATGCTCTGGAGGCAGTGGTTGGAAACTACTTTCACTCATTCAGAAAGTATCTTACTGGGACCTGTTTACAAGATAGTCACCTTACAGATATGGGCAGTGCATACAACAGGCTAAAAGTTCTACCTCATGAAGCTTCTATTTAGTGGAACAGGGCAGACTCACACGAAATAAATATCACACTGCATATCAGGTACTGGAGAGTGCGTGGTAGGTAGAAAAGTAAAACAACAAAGACGGTTAGAAAATACTGGAGGTTTTGCAACTTCAGCTAGCATGCCATTCATAAGAAGAACCCAATGTAGCAACAGCGATGACCACCATACCACACTTGATGTATGCCAGGCACTGTACTGGAAGCCTAGTATACATGACCATTTTTTATTGTTCATACAGATCTTAATTTCATGTTTTCCTGTTCTGAAGATGAAAAAAAAAGTGCCTGCTTTTTGTAAAAGGTGTCATGAGTCACAGGACAGAATGGCCCAGGACAAGCCCTTCATGGCCGCAGCATGCAATGTGGATGGTCAACTGAGTTCACCTTTAGAAACATATTAAAAATCATAACTGAACAAGTAGATAAGAATTTATGTAAAAGGTTATATATCATAATATTGTTTATCACGACCATATAAACATCTGCCACTCCCAGAGGTCAAGGGCAAGCGTAATAAATAGCAGCACCAGGATTTGGACGTAGGTGGAAAGCAGTGCCCTTCACTCCACTGCCCATTTTGGCTGACAGCAGCTCTGTGAGTGTGCCTGCTCCAGAAGCTGCTGAGTTGCTGGACACGGGCTGCTTGACCGGTGGGTGCCGAGCCTTGGGATGCAGGGAGGTTCTTCCTGGGAACGGAAGCTGTTGGAGGGTTTTTCTCATGGGTGGCCGGACAGGACAACCACAAGCCTGTCTTTAACTCAAGTCATGAGGTCCACAAAGTATGGGTCAGTGGTGTGTCACTGGACACATGGGTTCCAGGGGAAGACAGGGACTTGTCTTCCACTCCTGTGGCTGCATCTGGAGTCTACAGAATGCTGTAGCAAAGCTCCCTGGCTGGACTGCCTCAGAATACAAATCCCTGAATGCTATTAGGACCCAATGACTATTTGGGCAATTCCCTGAATGAACATTTAGAGATGCAAATCAGTAAATAAATTCTCTTTTTGCTTTGTGTGACTTAATCAGGTCTGAAGACATGAAAATGAGATATGGTTCCACATTGTTCCAAGCCACCTTAAATCAAAGCCTAAAATTTTGTTACAGGAAATAGTAAGTGTCTTGATTTTGGGCATCACTATGGGGAGGAGGTTGTAACAATGTTGAGAGAGTTTTTGTTTGTGGGGACCAGTATTGTAGTGGGAGGACCAAGGATCATCTTTGTCTCCTCTGCAACCCTGGAAATATTGTAAAAGCTTAGCAAATATTTGTTTAATAAATGGTTAATGCTTTCTGAATTCAGTCTTTGGTTTGTGTTTGGCCTAACACTTCACCCAGATGCATATTAATCTGTAATTATTCCTTCTATATGAAAGAACCTCTGGGAATCCAGGAGAGGTCCTGAAGGGAAGATTTAAGACATTTTTAGGGGGAACTTCTTGCATCATTAGCTATAAATTTATGGTTATTTTTCATGCATGTATAATATTCTGCCATATATATATATATATATATATATATATATATGCCATACGTTTTATTTTGGGGTACTGGGGATTGCACTCAGGGACACTCGACCACTGAGCCACATCCCCAGCCCTATTGTGTATTTTATTTAGAGACAGGGTCTCACTGAGTTGCTTAGCATCTTGCTTTTGCCAAGGCTGGCTTTGAACTTGTGATCCTCCTGCATCAGCCACCAGAGCTGTAGGGATTATAAGCATGCGCCACCATGCCCAACTTATATGCCATACTTTTAACAAATTTTATTCAGGTTGTTTTTAACTTTGGCTATTGTAAACAATATTTCGATATATCTTTGTACACAAATTGCTGTCTATTTGTTCAGTTGTGTTTTTGAAGTAAATTCCTAGAAGCAAACTCAGCTGATTCGCCATTCTGAAGGGTTCGGGCCGAGCCGGCCGTCCTCCCTCTCTCATGGGCTGCTCTGTGACAATGGCATCTTTGACATGCAAGGGTCAGGATGGTGGGTCCCACTGAGGTGATACTGCTCCCCACGGGACGTTTGGCAATGTCTGGAAAGTGTTTGGTTTTCACATGGGTGGGGGACCTACTTGCATTTGGTGGGTAGAGGCCAGGGATACTGTCCAGTCTCCGTGATGCACAGGATAACCCACCACGAAGAACTATCCAGCCCCCAAAGCCAATAGGTGGAGGTTGAGAAACCCCAGTTTCAAGGAAGCCCTGTGGTCATGGAGCACAGGTGGACAGACAGTCCTCCTATGTGTCCACGTGCTGGTCAACAAGGGGAGCTGGAGTCCATTATCTGCTCAGCAGCTGGCTGTTGGGGAACTCTGGAGGTCCTAGGCTTTTACCAGGAGAGGGCGCAAAGGATTCCTTCTTCTTTTATATATCAACAACTGTTAAAAATGTCTAAATTTGAGTCCTAGAAGAACCAGGCCCTGAGCATGAGAGAGAGGCACATTTAGTGCTCTTGGTGTGCAGCTGGGGTGTCACTGTGATCATCTGCAAGGACCAGCCTTCTCTGGGCAGACTCTGCATCTCACAAGAGCATCCAGGTTGGCAGACACAGCTGTGAACATCTGTCCTCCTCCTCATTTCTTCTCTTGGAGGGAGGCCGACGGGCAGGGCGAGAACCCTGCAGCCCAGCCAAATGTCGCCTGATCTGTTCAGGGCACCGGCATGGCTGTCTGCCATCTAGCTTGACTCTGAGAACATCAAGGTCGAGTCCTGAATCCTTTTAGTCACCAAAAGAGTTTTCTTAGACAAAACGAGACTCAGATTAAGCCTCTGTCCATCTGATTTTCTTGGACATGGAGCCATTATGGGAAAGCAGGCAGGGACTCCAGGTGGCATTTCCCCCAAAATGCTGGGTCCGCAGTACTGGGAGGCTGAAGAGATGCCAACCCATGTGCCCTGGCCTACCGGAGCTGGGTAACTCCTCGGGGCCTCACACCAACTATGGTGCTTCTAATGGACCATACAAGTTACCTCTCACACGCTACAAAGAAAACTGTCATTTTGGGAGAGAAGAGCTAAATCAGTATCTCTTGGCCCTAAGAAGGGTGCTTAGGTGTGTCGCAGCCCGGGGGTCTGGGAAAAGCACTGAACTTGGTCCAGGCAAAAGGCAGGCTCTGATTTCTATGAATTTACGGCCTTGAGCAAATTACCCAACCCCAAGCCTTGTTTACTTCCCCAATGACCATGAAATTGGTGGTTGGGAGGATTAATGTTGGTCGCTCCAAGCCGTCTGTCAGCGTGGTCCAGGATGGAACTAGTGAAGCATTAACAACTCGTTCTGGAGCCTGCCCTCGGGGACCAGCTCTGCACCTCCTCCACCTGCCCTTGCCCTCCGAGGCTGTGGTTCTGAGGATGCTTGGTGACTTCTAAAGAGATGATGAGTTAAAACGCACACGCTCCACGTTCTGGTTGAGGATGGGAAGTGACAGCGAAGTCCCCCTATAAGTTGTGGATTCTCAGTCCCGTTGCAGGATAGGGGTGGTGGTGAACCATTTAGTCCCTGGAGGTTGAGCCTGGCCCCCGACTTTGACTCCAAGGGCACAAAGGAGACCCTGTGGTTTCAGGACTGAACATCTCGGAGGCCACTTTCAGAGGGAATCTTCTTGCTTTTTCAAACATCCTGATCAGGGCGATTTCCGAAGTCTGTTTGAACAGCCTGTCGTTACTTGTTTAAGTTTGAAAGCTGTTTTAAATAAACACAAGCTCATTTTATGTATTAAAAGCAACAATGAGCGGGGGAAAAAACCTGGGCCATCATCATGTGATTCTGACAAAATCCCTGTCCAAATATTTAGGGGCACAGCATCCCTCACTAGTGTCAGGGCTAGTGAGGGTCACAGCATCTCAGGGATGTGCCCAGGCTCCCACTCGAGGGCCCCTTTGGGCCCTTGGCTGGGCCCTCACCTCCGACAAGAGGCAGCAGGGCTCCAGCTTGGGGGCAACTGCTTCTTCCCAGAGTTGAAATTCAGAGGCCACAGATGGTCTCAGTCTGGATTTCACTCAAGGTGGCCCAGGCGGGTAAATCTGCAGCCTCAGATCATTGCTGTGAGGTTGGCGGGAAGCCAAGGAGGTGTAGACTGGAACAGGTCGTTGCCAAGACTCCTCGGCTCACAAGGTTCCTCGTCCCCTGCCTCTGGACCGTCGTGGAGCATGGTGGGTCTTTCTCTTCTTCTCCTTTCTCTGTCTCTCTCTCTCAGGCACATGCTACACATGCACACCACCTCCCTTGAGGAAGCCCACCCTCACATTTTCCTTTTCCACTTGGAACCCTTCAAAAGGTGTCATCTAAATTTGATTGCAAGTGAAATGAGATTTTTTAAAAACAAATCAGCTTGGTGAAAATGGAATAGATGTAATACTGAAAGCCGAAAAGGATGCGGCTGGGCTGAGGGTGGGCAGCCAGGATGCTCTTACATCATCTGTGGGATCCATGAAGGGTAAATGGAGGGACCCTCTACATTTGGTGATGTTTACCAGGAGGCTTAAAAAATATTACCTTTTTTATTAGTAATCCCAATTCTAGTTATTTACCTTGAAAAAAATAATAAAGTACCCAGGTTATACATAATAATAATATCCTGGAAGCAACTTTCAATACCTGAAAATATGATTGACACATCCATTCCACTGAATACTATTGCTCTTTATGAAATCACTTTAATATATACCAGATTATAACAATGGCGATGTCTAATATCCTCCCCCATATGACTC